GCCGCAGCAGCAGAGGCAACAGAGGGCAGAAGGGGGGAGGGGGAACACCCCTCAAAGATGGGGGTGCGCGGGTCACCACGAGAGGCCCCTACAGCGACTATGCTCTTCTCGGCCGCTAGGAGGGACTTCTCGAGGAGGTCAACAGTGAGAGTGGTGGGACAGACAGAGAGAAAGTGGTCCCTGACTACGCGAAGGGAGTCAGGAAGGCGAGTGACTATGTAGTAAAGAGTGATGTACATGGGGGGGGGGTTCCTGGCGTAGAAGTCAGGAGGGAGTGCAGCGCGGTAGCGAGTGTCACTAGTGCGGAGGTGCGTAATGAGGTCAGTGACTGTGGGAAAGGCAGCAAGATCAGGAAAGAGGTACGGTAGCATGAGACGGCTCAGTGCAGCAGTGGCAGGGGAGGAGTAGCGCGCAACTACAGCGTCGTACAAGGTCTGAGCACTCTTGTACTGACTAAAGTGCGCACGCTCGGAGGTAGGGAGGTGGCGACGCACAGCAAGACGTGCAGCAGCGTCGCGCGTGGCCCACTGGGAGCGAGCAGTGGCGTCAGCATCAGCAGCAGGGGCAGTGGAGGTGCCAGAGGTGAGGTCAAAGAGAGAGAGGCCGTCTGCCCTATCGCACTGTAAGAACAGCTGCAGGTCATCTACCCAGACCTCAAAGTCAATGGCCCTACCCTCAGCGTCAAAGGCGAGAACACTAGGGGTAGCCATGACCCTAGACGACTAGCAGCGCAAACAGTAGGGTGAGGACAGTGCAGTGAAAAGGCGCTGTGCTCACCAGACTGGGCAGGTCGGGCGGCCCTGAAGGAGGGCGGCGCGGCGGCTCGGCGGCTCAGCTGCTGGGCGGCCCGGCGGCTCGGCGGCTCCGCTGCTGGGCGGCTCGGCTGCTGGGCGGCTCGGCTGCTGGGCGGCGCGGCCGCTGGGCGGCTCGGCTGCTGGGCAGCTCGGCTGCTGGGCGGCTCGGCGGCTCGGCTGCTGGGCGGCTCGGCTGCTGGGCGGCTCGGCGGCTCGGCTGCTGGGCGGCTCGGCTGTGCTGCTGCAGGGCGGCACGGCTGGGCAGCAGGTGACGGGGCCGCAGGTAAGGGCGGCGGGGCCGCTGGTAAGGGCGGCGTGGCCGCGGGTAGGGTGGCGGGGTCGCAGATAAGGTGGCGGGGCCGCAGTAGAGGGCGGCGGGGCCGCAGGTAAGGGCGGGGCCGCAGGTAAGGTGGCGGGGCCGCAGGTAAGGTGGCGGGGCCGCGAGGAAGGGCGGCGGGGCCGCTAGGTAGGGCGGCGGGGCCGCGCGATGGGGCGGCGGGGCCGCGAGGAAGGGCGGCGGGGCCGCGCGATGGGGCGGCGGGGCCGCGCTATGGGGCGGCGGGGCCGCGCGATGGGGCGGCGGGGCCGCTAGGTAGGGCGGCGGGGCCGCTAGGTAGGGCGGCGGGGCCGCGCGATGGGGCGGCGGGGCCGCGATGGGGCGGCGGGGCCGCTAGGTAGGGCGGCGGGGCCGCGCAATGGGGCGGCGAGGCCGCGAGGTAGGGCGGCGGGGCCGCTAGGAGAGAGGCGGCGGGGCCGCTAGGTAGGGCGGCGGGGCCGCTAGGAGAGAGGCGGCGGGGCCGCGAAGACGGGCGGCGGGGCCGCGGAGACGGGTGGCGGGGCCGCAGTGCAGGGCCGCTAGGGCGGCTCGACGAAGTGAGGGCCCGGAGCGCGACTCGGGCTGAGCGCGCTTCGGGCAGGAAAAAAAAATCGATGTGGTGGGCCCTAAGCACAGTTCCCAAGGGGGAACCTGCTCGATACCATGAGAAGATTTGAACAAGAATTAATGAACTATGAAATGAAGTGAGTACAAATATGAAACCCTAATTGGTTGTACCCCCTATGGAATACCCCACTATAGCCTACACAACAGCATAAGCTATAATGTTCTGACATATGATTGCGCAGGAGCTGCTTGCTGGTGTTGCTCGTAGAAGGACATGAAGGAGAAAAGTTTCTCTATCATATTTGAGTCGAAGCCTGACGCTTGATTTCCAGGGATTTCTGTTGACTATGCAGCTGGTTTTGTGCCTTCTTCTGTCTGTAGACCGGAGACTGGAGGTGGAGTAGGGGTGGTGCCGAGAGATCCGTTGGAGGAGCTCCTCTCCTTTTGCGTAGCCATGACTTGTATTGAAATGTTTTAAAGAGTGATCTTGTCCTGCCTTGCTCTCATACCATGTTGGGCTGAGAAAAGCCCTTAGGATCTTTATAGGACTAAGATTGGGTGTTGATGTAGAGTTGTAACAGCGGAAGCCTTTAATGAAGAGTTGATGTGAACCACCTTGTGCTGGTTTGTGAGAACAAGATAAGTTAATTAATATCAAAGAGATACAGGCCTTTTATATGATTACAGGGAATATAAAGAGTTCTATTTTAACTGTTTTGGCTGTTGCGATTTGATACAGTGCCGACTCGGGTAACTGCTCTGTAACGAGTCAGTTATGTGTCCTTGCTGTCGCACTGTACATTTCGTCAGGTCAAAGGTCGGGGACATTTAACCTTCGCGTAACCTCCGACGGTTTACTCACGTGTTTCTTCGCTGTAGTCGGTTCCGTTTTGTGTCGCAGCTTCGATACGACAGAGGCGCTATAAATCACTTGTTTCCAACAAGTTGCACCTCTTCATATTTCCTGTAATCATATATATATCCTTGTATCTCTTTGCATCAATCAATTCATCTTGCTCTCACATACTAGCGCAAGGTGGTTCAACAATATTACTATACGCTTCCGCAATTACAACATCTCTAACCAAAGTCTTAGCCTTGAAAAGACCCTAAGGGCTTTTCTCAACCCAACAAACATGGTATCAGAGCGAAGGTCTCGGGTTCGAATCCCAGTGTGTGCACTTCGGGCATCCCAATGCGGGGGGGGGGGGGGGGGGGGGGGGGGGTATCAGAGGTCCACGGGTGATCCCCGATTGATCTTAGGGAACGGTTACAGGCTCGTTGTCCTGTGGGGTTATGGGCGCACTGACCTGCTACTTAACAAACTATTTTATCCCAATGCGGTTACTGGTCGGTCAAGAGTCACGACCGTTGACTGTCTTCGACTGTTGACCTTCGGGTGACTCTCGATCTTCCGCATGCTCTATATGAGCTATTGCGGTACTGGTACAGACGCGTTGCTTCGTTATGAAGTGACGCGTGAGTGGAGATCCTTTGGGAATGCTAGTATAACCTTTCGGTTATTCCAACACATGAGTGCTAAGGGAATGAGCATTTCTCTGGCCTTTTAGAGCTCTGGCTTGTCCCCGAACTTCGCAGACTCCCATTTGCACAACATCTGCTGACAATGAAATGTGGTTCATGCAATTTTTGTCTGTTTTACAAAACGCATGTACTCAAGGGGGTTTTAACGAAGATGGTTTAAGGGTTAAAAGCTCATCTCATATTTGGGGTATAAAACACTGATTCATAGAACATGATGTTAACCAAAAACGTGTAATTTTAAGGAACAGCACCTGCTCCTGGGTGCAGCAGACTGCCTCAGGCTTAATTGCCATCCCCTGAGCCTCTCCATTCCACACAATTCCAGAATCTTGTAAAAATACCATTCAATGACCAGACGGTGCAGTAGACTTCTTTTTCTTCTTTATTGAATCCGGAGACTTCAACCTTGCCAGATCAGTTGACTTTGCTGGCAATTTCCCTTCCACCGCCTCCTGTGCCACACCAGGCTTCACACTGCTTCCACCTGTCTCCTTCGAATCACTCCCACCACCACCCTTTCCACCCGAGCTAGGCGTCCCTTGAACCCCCTGGGTCCGGCCCTTCGATTTCTTCTTCCTTGCACTCTGTTCGCTCACGACGCCATTTTCCATTGTGTCAGGGATCACAACTGATCCTGGAAAGCTACCCTCCTCTACGCCGTCCTGCCGCTGACTCGTTTCTTGTCTGACCCCGTCGACATCCCCGCTTTCTGTAGCATCCCGGGACTTCCTCTTCTTCTTGGGAGTCTTCACTTTCCCAACGCTAGGCTCTTGCTGATCACCACCACCAACATTGCCATCCACTGTCACCGCTTTCTTCTTTTTCTTCTTCTTTCCGCTATCGGTAGTCTCTGCAGACAATGTCGTCTTACTCGCTGGTGTTGCAGCTTCTGTTTTCCGCACCTCTGCTTCTTCTGCTTCGTTAGCACCTTCGTCGCCATCTGCGACGGCGCTGTTGGCTAAACCCTTACCAGCACTGACATCAGGAGAATTATGCGCATCGGCTTCTGGCGCATTGATTGGTGGTCCGGATGGATCGAGAACTGTCAGGATAGTGCTAAGATGCGAATAAAGATCTGGAGCGTCAGTTTGAAGCTCTGGGACGTACTGAAGAAAACGGCGTAATAATCGCCCGCCATTTGCCGCCGACACGGGAGTGCCGTGAAGCTCCATAAAATATAATTCCGCTAAACGGGAAAGTAGGTCACCGAATGAACCTAGCAAAAAAAAAAGCGCTATCCAGCTGGAGCGAGCGTGGTCTACAGTGCTAGACTACGAACATCCTTCTTTTCTAAAGAGCCGGTTCGGAATGTTTGTCCAAGCAAAGACGTCAACCATGAACGCTGAGGTGAGACAGCGGCCACACGTGCGAGAAGGTATTGGACACGCACATAAGCCAGCCACCCGGCGACATAGCAGTTTGGTCTAGGGCAGGCAACAGCAGTTCAGAAAATGACTTCTGCAAGGATTTGGAAGGGTTCAGGTTTGAAGCTCAAATCGGGAGTTTTGGGTTGAGCAGAGCGATTGGGTTGATCCTCGCTACCGTGTTTCAATATCGTTAGTTACGACAGTTACGACTGCGGGTGTAGTTCCAAGTATAATGTTTCGGCACTCGCAAAAAAAAGACATATATAGCTGGTTACGACATAATGTAGACGCCAAAATTATATTTGTGGTTTTGGTTGAGGTACACCAAGAAAATTGGCACTGCAGATAATGTACAAGTCAGCAAGAGTTTAAACAAAACAAACCCAAGAGATTCAAGTCCACATAATTACTTCAACGACCGGCTAGATTCAACAAATCTCTGAAGTACTCGTGCTCAAGTGCTTCTCGTGCAGTGACACGCTTACTCGGGTCAAGACAAAGCATTTTCTGCATCCGAGCAAGGCATCAACGGGCATGCGCATGTTAGTTCTAAGAAACGTAAAGCACGATGAATGGAGATGTAAAAAAAACCCCAGAAACTTACAGACAAAAGATCAATCCCACTCTTTTCCAAGTTTGGCACAATGGACTGATGATCCTGAGAGGAGGAAAAAAAAAAAACAGAATCATGCATGAGTTGAGAGGCAACAGCACAGAAGAAACTGGGACTATGATGCACCAAACGGGACAATCCAGGTTGTATATCTTCCTTCAGAATAAAACAATCCGATAGTGGAGGTTTTACCTTAGATGTCCATTGAGGAAACGATGTCTTGTAGTCAGGAAGTTGTGAAACTCCTGGCCAATTATCATCATTAGGCGTTCCCAACATTCTGTGAAGTTTGGCCACAGACAAGCAGAACAAGGTAAGAAAGCTTTCTGGTTGAGCCTTCAATCAAGATGTCTTGGGGCTCGTCTCACCTGAATATTTTGAACAGCTCATCAATTTCAGAATCTCCTGGGAATAGGGGGCGCTGATTTATCATCTCCGCAAAAATGCAACCAACAGACCAGATGTCCACAGGCGTTCCGTAGTGATTTGAACCCAGAAGGATTTCTGGGGCCCTATACCACAAGGTCACGACCTGCAATCAGGCAAAGCATAGAACGGACAGAATGTCGTGATTGTGTCAGGCAACCAGGGTCCATCCGTTCATGATCAGTCCCGCCCCTCGCGAATTCGCGGGTGAAGGATCGAACAACATGATTGCGTGAAATGAATTTGTGGTCCCATCTCACCTCGTGCGTGAACGTCCGCACTGGAATCCCAAAGGCCCTGGCAAGGCCGAAATCAGCAAGCTTCAAGGAATTCGTCTGACGGTCGATGAGCAGGTTCTGAGGCTTCAAGTCCCGGTGCAAAACACGGTGAGCGTGGCAGTATGCTACTCCTTGAAGAATCTGGTACATGTAAGACTGCAAACGGCAAACGAGCAGGTCAACATGTTGAGTTCGGTTCACTGACTTTGCCCTGGTAGCATATGGATTGGAATCTACTACTTATGGTGATGACGAGGCTCACCTTGATAATCATCCTGTCCTGCGCAATGTGAGGGCTCGTGTCAAGATGCTTCTTAAGGTCCAGATCAAGGTACTCGAAGACAAGGTACAACCTTCGGTCAGCGTGCACGACGTCTTGAAGCCTGAAGTTAAGATATGGTAGTCAGGTCAGATTCGCTTTAGGTGCGTTCCCCAATGGGAAGAACAACGAATCCAGCGAGGACAATACTAACCTGACAATATTCCCGTGCTGCATCTCCTTCAGCAGTGCAATCTCTCTAATAGCGGTGCTTGGGACACCCTCGTCTTCGGCTTCTAGCCGAATCTTCTTCAGCGCTATCGTCTCATTGGTCAGTCTATCACGTGCTTTGTACACGACACCATACGTCCCTTCTCCGATTTTCTCAACCTTCTCATACTGCAATAAGAAACGAAATCGTTAGACCGTCTCGAATGCGCGCAAACTGACTAGCTCGAGCGACCAACAGCACCACGACCTATATTCACCTGCTCCATGACGGGACACCAACACTCTCAAATCCACTAATGCGGGACGCAGACGGGACCAGCCACACTATCGAAATTTCTGACAGCTCTTGCAATAACCCTCACGATTCTTCCAGTGGGGACGCCGGACCTTGAGAACTCCCGGCTTCTGTATTCTGTGGAGTTTCACAAAGAAGCTTAGTCGAACGATGCTAAACAGATTCAGCTAGCAAGAAGGTGCAGCTGACAGGCATGCCTGTGCTGCTTTCATCAGGCACACATGAATGGAGGGGATTGGCTGTGACGACTTGGCGGGAAACACCATTCGGTCCCCGCTCCCTCCTTTCCAGCCTGGCCGGACGAAAACAGTCCTCGCAGTTGGGGGGAGAACTCGAGGTGGTCATTGCAGCTTTGTCCACTGGCTGGCACTCCACGAAGCGCACTGATTGCAAGCTCCTGACACTCACTAGTGTAACAAATGCCACACCTGAGATAGGCTGAAATGCCTTGTTGTCAGGAAGTCAAGCTAATTACTCTCTGAAGCCCAACTCTAAAAACATTTAACCCATTATCAGTGTTACCACACCATACACTTCACAGCTCAAATTCACCGGCCGTTTTTTTTTTTACCTACTGTACCTCGATATTGCAAGAATTTGTTACTGCTCCCCACTAATGTGTCTGCGTGGTGTTGTGGCGTCCCGAGTTGCCAATGAATAACACATTATTTAGCTATGATACAGTAGTCCTACACGCACAAGACGTCGTCACCTCGTAGCGGCAACTGCAGCAGCTGCTGCAGACCGCGATCGTCGCGTTGCTTGCGCCAGGAAAAGCTCAACTATTTCAGGCTCCAGCCCTCTAACAGCAACCGTCACTCCAGGAGGTGGTTTCTCATTTGGTGGGCTTGGTCGAATTTGCAGGGCTGGGCTTAGTCCCTCCCGTTTTCCCCCTCCCAGGGAAGCGTAGGTGCCAGCAGACGATGCACCAACAGTCACGTGGCCACCCCTTTTGATTCGTTCATAAGCCTCAGTAATCTGCACATTTAAGGTCCATTCAAGAAGATCAGGTGAGCAACAACGCAAAAAAAACAGGGGAGGAAAGCTACATATTTTTAAGCTCAACTCGAGCACAAACTGGTCAGAAGCACGGTTGTACCGTGCATGACACATCCCTCCCCACACATCCTCACCTTCATGAACTGAGCCTCAACAGATGCTTTGTCGTCATGCGCGTTGTGCATGTCCGGGTGATGCCTGGCTGCCAAGGAACGGTACGCCGCCCGGATCTGAGCCATGAGGGAGAGGGACAACAAAAGTTCAGAATATACTATATATATTGAATCTCTAAAAGGTCATGCAAGTTGTGCCTGTCTGGGTGGTGCCTGGCGGCCAAGGAGTGATAAGCTGCCCGGATGTGAGGGAGGGGGGGAGAGAGGGAGAGGGAGAGGGAGAGGGAGAGGGAGAGGGAGAGGGAGAGGGAGAGGGAGAGGGAGAGGGAGAGGGAGACATCATGGTGGTCGGGAAGGACACATCGAAAGGCATGTGACTTTTGAGTCCACTCAAAAGTCGCCTTTGCAACCCCCTCCTGCCATCACAAGCTGATAACATGGTGGTCGAAAAGGACACATCGGAAGGCTTAGGAGGGTATTCAGGGCACAAAGAAAGGGCAAAACCTGAGAGGGAGCACCTGTGAGGGAGTACCTGTGAGGGAGCACCTGTGAGGGAGCACCTGTGAGGGAGCACCTGTGATGGAGCACATATGAGGGCGCACCTGGGAGGGAGCACCTGAGAGGGGCAGGAGTCCCAACCCAACACACCTATATTGTGTTTCAAGACGTCCCAACACACCTGTGGTGGAGCTCCTGAACGGGAGTGCACCTGTGAGGGGAGCACCTATGAGGGAGCACCTGAGAGGGAGCAGCGCTCTTGGCAATGCCGAGGATGGAGTAGGGGCAGGAGTGCTCCTCCGCCCCTTGATTGTCACCCCCCGTTGGCGACGAGGGTGAAGTGCCGAGCATGGCGGTTACCACCTCGTCATAGAATCTCTCGGCGCTCTCATATGAATACTCCAGCCTGGGTGAATTGATTTAGGGTATTGGGTGGTAGAGGGAGGAGTTGAGGAAGAACAGGGGGAAGGGTGGAAGGTGGAGGTTAACTTCTCTTCATAAAAGCTCTCCGCACCGCTCTCTCGTATGCATACTCCAGCCTGGTTGACCAGGTTGTGTCGTGTGTGGGATGCAGTGGGTAACAGGGAAATATGAGGAAGAAAGAACAGGATGAAAGCCTGTAGGTGGTGGTGGTTACCACCTCGTAGTAGAACTCTCCGCACTCTCGTATGCATACTCCAGCCTGGGTGGAAGGTTTTCGGGTTCCAGAGTGGAAGGAGCATGAAGAAGAACACAACGATAGGTGGCAGGTGGCGGATGGCGGGTGGTGGATGGCGGGTGGTGGATGGCGGGTGGTGGATGGCGGATGGTGGATGGCGGATGGTGGATGGCGGGTGGTGGTTACCAGCAGTACTGGTTGAAAAAAGAAAGGAAAGTGAATATTGAGGTGAACTTGAAGCAATCCAAGAAGTAGAGGCTTGTGATGGTGGGGAGACTGGAGAGTGAAGGGAACGGGTGGCAGCTTACAGGTGCCGTGGCACTGAGCTGACAAACGACCCTGCGCTCTCTGCTATCAACCTGCAGCCAGAAAATTGCAACCAGAAAAATCAAACCAGAAAGAAACAAACCAGAAACAAACAAACCAGGAAAACCAAACCACAGCACACGGGAGCAAGGGTTGGAGGCACAGACAGGCGTCAAGGCAGGGAGCAACAAAAAAAGCAGGCAGAGGCAGATATTGTAGTCAGTCAGACTAGAAAATGCGGGAATTTGGGACAGACAGGAGTCAGACAGACAGGCGTCAAGGAGGGAATTGGGGAAGAAACTTGGTAAAGTCAGGCAGAGACAGATTCCAGGCAACCCTACATACACATGTTCTGTGAGAAAAGGGTCACTTTTGCACTAGCAGGTGCAAAGCATGAATTGGGCTTTAACAGGGGGGTCATCAATCTTGCTACACCGAGACCCGCACTGACCAATACACTCATTTCCTCTTCCCCCACACCCCCTTCCCCACCATCCCCCTTCCAAGACCCGCCCTGACCCCAACACCCACCCCTTCTTCCCCCGCACCCCCTTCCCCACCACCCCACCCCTTCCCCCACTCCTCCCCCTCCTCCCGCTTCTCGCGGTACCTCTCTCCAACACCCTCAATGAACCCGAAACCCTAGACGTTTCCTACGAACCTGCACACGTGTGGCAGCACTTTCGGCATGGCCGTCGCTGCTTCCTCGTCTGAAACTAGCACCAGCTCAACTACAGGCAGCCAATCAGAGAGGGCCACGTCAGCAGCAGGCCCCGCTGACGTGGCACCCGATTGGTGCATTCGCCTGACGCAAATGACGTACTCCCGTAGACCGGGGGATTCCGGAAAGGAATCTGCAGAGGAAGATTCTGCATTTTCTGACTGGGAATGGTATTGCTGATGGTAGTCGCATAGGAGCTGGTGGTACTGTTGTTCGCTGCGCCTTAGGAGAGCAGCCGCGTCGACTAATATCGGGGGTGGGGGAACAATGCGGCATTGGGGGACAGTAATAAGAGGAAGAAGGCGAGCGGGCAAAGCGAATGAGAACTCGGTGGCGTTTCACGGTTTGTAACAATGTAACAGAGGAATCGATAGAGACGAACGCCAAATAGGAAAAAACAAAAAGCAGACATTGGCTTTCGGAATCTTGCGCTACAGCGAAATCCAGAGGTGTGAACGTTTTCAGACCGTAGAACGCAACCCACTTTTAGGCGCGGCCGCCGCTTTCACCCCGGCCTTGGTCTTCGCGCCGAAGCCTCCACTCGAAGCCGTCTTCGCCTTTGACCCTTTCCCCGCTGCCGATATGACGATCCGAGGCCGAGGGTTCCATGATCGCTGTTGATGGAATTGCACCCCGTGTTTCTGTGCTCGCGATCCTGGGTTTAATCCAGGCGCGGCTGTGATTTCTGATCGGCTGAAGCCGCAGCAAGGACGGGTGCTAAGCGAAAGCATTTCGACGAAGAGCACACAGCGAGATATAAGGGAAACGCTATCAGCAACACGCTTCGTTGGACGTAAACTCGAAGCATTTAGAAAGCTTGCTTTCTTATACTGATCATTTGGCATCGTTCTCATTGCAACTGGCAAATTACAACATGCACCTCGAGCTAGACAATATAGATGCTAGTACATGACCTGATTCCACCTACCATAGCATTGTACTAGGTATCCTGCATTATGCGTGCGTACTACCAATCATATGACTAACTGTCTGTCCTCCTGTTCCAGCGGCGTCGCAGATGTCCTCGGTGTCGGGGTGGGGGGTGGGAGAGTTGCATGAGCCGTTGGAAAATGAGAGACGTGGGTGGAGGGAAATGAGCTCCAACCCACGTTTTGTAGTTGGAGAAGGGCGTTTAGCGCGCTTCGACGATGCCAAATCTGCGTTACAGGCAGCTGCGCTTTCGAAATACGTAATTTTGAAAAACACTTCGTGTGTTTAAAAATTATCATTTCTGATTAGCAGGACGGAGTGGCAGATCAGATCAGCTCTCTGGTTTTAGCGGGGGACAGGGTTCCATCGAGTTTCAAGAGGTGTTTCATTCTTCTGTTGTCAATATACATGGTAAGAATGTCGACTATGACCCGTGTTTTTAATTGCAGATGCTAATAACGAGTATTCTGTAATCCTTCTGGGCATTGTGGGGTGTACACACGGTCCTCGCCAATTTCAATCCCACCAATTTCACACCCTGAGCAATCCTTTCTGGTCTACCCGAAATCAGGGGTCATTCGGAAAGCTTAGGCTTTAAGTAGGAAAATGTTCGAGACTACCCACACGAGTCAGCAGGAAAACAAAAATCAGGGTCGCAGCGGAAAATCGCGTGAGAGTTTCACGAGATTGACACTAAATAATGTCACGAGTAGCCTTTAGTTCCTGAATGTTTGATATGTAAAGCAAAAAACGGTCAAGGGTGATTTGTGCAAAGTTCCAGGGGACGTGAAATTGGCGAGGACTCGGTGTACTTGCAAGACCGACAATTCTCCCCAAAAAAAACTTCATCCGAGCCCAGCCCCGTCCAAAACACACAAACCGGCAGCTCCGGTTGTCCGAACCTCACTGACGGTTCGCCGTAGGCACCTCCTTCTGATGCCAATTGTCCAACAAACCCGACAAGTTGATCCAATAAACCATTGTGGTTGGATGAAGCTGCTGCTGCTGAGCTGACTGGATGGCAAGCCTGCTATAGTGGTTGCCGCTTGTTCGTCGTTACAAAATTCAGCGAAACCGACAATGCGTGCAGGAGAGGCAATGCGTGCAGAATGATCATCAAGAAAACGTCGTCCTCTTGGTTTCTGGCTCGCCTTGCCTCCCCCCAACCAGCCAACTGTAGTGGCTAGCTCCTCTCGTCTTTGCTCCACTTCACCTGCAGCAAAGGAGGACGAGAGAGTGGGAGAGAGGAGGAATGGGAAGGAGCTTCTTTCGCCGCCCCTCTTTCACTTCACTCAACAAACCTCCTCATCCTACACAACTGCACCGTGAACTGTGCTGTACGGTACAGATGTGTACTCTCCACAGTTCATAGTTTCCAGATTCCATGGTAGACCGAACCAGGGCTCTCTTTTCATTTTAGGGCACTCTTCCAAATCAGGGTTCCCGCCGCCCGCCACCCGGCCAAGCCGAGTGGCAAGCGGCAAAATCAGGGTAGTGGCAGGGTGTTTTTTTGCCACACCTGATTTGTGGCAGGGTGATTTTTCCGAGGACCCTGTTTTCCCCAAGTGTTGTGACTGGCACAGCACGCTCTACAGCTGTGTCTGCGAGTCTCAGCACTTAAGTTTTATTTTAAACAGCAGAGTTGGAGTTCGCCAAATCAGCCCAATGGATCACAGCACCGCTCTACATCTGTCTCTGCGAGCCTCAGTACGTTTTTTCATGACACACATGGTGTTCAGCGGAACGGCCCATGGGACTTTGAGGTGTTTCGTGAGCTGAATCCCAGGAACACGTACGCAAAGTGGCCGGGTGTTTCTTTGAGGAACTCCTCACGTGCAGGGTTAAAACCATGGCGAGCCTGCTTCAGCCGTATAAAATTAAAAGGCACTCGGATTGTGGCCGGGTGAGGTCCTGGGGGGACCCAGTTTTGGAAGGGTCGCACCAAAAAAACACCCTGTTTGGCAGGGCAAATAGGGTAAAACCCCCTGAAAAAGGGAGCCTTGGACCGAACTTCCAAATTGAACAAACCAAACCGTTCCAAACCCTTCCGTTCTCATCCTTGGACGTGTATCGTCGTTTTCTGTGTGGTGTCGAATCGAGATTCGTGAATCCTGCTGTCACAAGTCACAAGTCTGGTCCCGTCGTCTTCATCCAAGACTGACACAAATCCTTCCCATTCCATTCCAAGTCCCTCTCCCAAACCAAACCAAGGACCCGAGCCTCGACTCGACACTCGATGTAGAGCTTGACCAGCACAAGCTGCGACAAGAGGTCGGAGTGGGAGGCTCGAGTGTGGGGAACCTGAGGGGAATCGAAGCACTTCTTGCTGTCGTTTGTACGGTATCTTCCCACCCTCACAACACAAGCAAACCAGCCCTGCTGGCCGCATGCCCTAATGACCGAATCTCATGACCATTTGGATCGCTGTATCCCTCCTCTCCTCCTTCGCTCTCTCCATTCCACCCACACTCGCAAACGCAGACCTCAGCATTTCACGAGCACGATTCAAGTACACATTTCATTTGTATCTGGGCCGAATAGTTTCGGTAACGCTTAGCCTCTCTGCTGGACAATGAGTTACGAACGTCTTCAACTAGTCCCTAGAACTTACGAGTCCTAGGTCTAGTGATCTGGAACATCGCTTGGTACCTCCACTCTGCCAGTTCACTTTGCCCAAATGCGTCAAGGAGCAGAAATTCTGATTCAGCCGCCGCATCAGCATTTCTCACCCTTCGCAGGGCATGGAGAATCCATGGCGATGTATTATCCGTCAATGCCCAACTCGTTCACAACTACCGGCTCTCCTCCCGTTTTTCCCGCCGCCACTCCCGCTAAAGGAGCTCGTACCCGGCCTTTTTCCACCTCATCCATTCAATATTATCCGCAACCTGCGCCCCCGTCTCAGACAAGCGATTCGGAATATGATGATGTTATCGAAGGGGAGATAGTAAACGACGATTGCGACGACGAGACGCCGTATTTTTCGCAGGACTTCGCACAGCCTATCGCACCGTCGTTCCAACGCCGTTCGTCCGATCCGCTATCTAGAGTGGAAGAGCATGGCAGCGACTCGTTCGAAGCCGTGGGTGTTATGTCCTGGAATGGATATGATTCAGTTACCAGCTTTAACTCCGCTATGGAGCAAAGCGGTTCCGTTATAGTGTACGACGACCAGCCGCAGACGCCCGTCCTGGACGGCGAGCCCGTGTACGACTATTGCGACGTCGAGGGCGACGAAGATTATGGTGACGACGGCGACGATTATCATCCCCAGTGCGACGAGGATGACGACGACTACGACGACGACGACGAAGACTGTGTTATGCTCGAAATGGCTGCTTCTGACGTGGAAATCGCAGCAGGGAACCCGGCCGCTCAGGTTGCCGATTTATACGCGTCTTCGCATCATCATCATCATCAAAATCACCCATCAGCCAACTTCGCAGCGAACGCCACGGCAAACGCGAATGCCGCGGCCTTTCCGGGCTCCGCGTCTCTGCCTGCCCATTCCGCTGCGGTTGCGCCCAGAACCCCTCGCCAACTTCAAGGAAACCACGCTCGATCGCGGTCCGTCAGTTTTAACGATCAACGGCAGCAGTCCGTCAATCCTAACGGTCATCAACGGCAAGATTCCGTCAGTTCTAACTGTCATCAGCAGCAGCAGTCCGTCAGCCTCAACGGTCATCAACGACAAAACTCCGTCACTTCTAACCGTCATCGCCGCCAGCTGTCCGTCAATTTCAACGGTCACCAGCGCCAAAATTCCATCAGTTCTAACGGTCATCGGCGCCAGCTGTCGGGATCCGCCCTTTCAACGGGCAGTTTCACCAGCAACGCTACGGTTGGCAGCAATCCACTCAGTGCTCGCAACACTGGGGGTAGCTGCAGCGGAACCGGCGCCAGCGGCCAGCGCAAGCTGCGGAAGGCCGGCACTATGCCAGACGAACAGTCGCACGGACGGGGGAGCCTCGCCGCTTCCGCCGCCGCGGTCGCCGCAACCACCGCTGTCGGAGCCCGTTGGGGGGCCCCTAATTACGGCAGCGCAGGCGGCGGCTCAGCATCGTTTCCCCGCAACACTCGCGGCAAGCGCGTGCTCGTGAAAGCCACTAGCATGCCGCCCGCTGTCGAATCCCGCCGCCCATCCAGTGGCGCTGGCAGCGCCACGAGCGGGGGCTCCGCCAGAACCCCCCGCCTCCCGGCCGGGCGCCCGCAGCAGCGCCTGCAGGTTTTTCCGCCAACCGACGCGCCAGGATATGCAGCAGCGCAGCCTTCCCCCAGAGCGCGGCTGTTGTCCGCAAAGTCCCCGCGCGTCCCGGCGAAATCCCCCCGCGCGCCCTCCGCCGCGCCGCACGGTGTCGCGCAGGTGTCTTTCGCCTCCCCGCATTCTTTCCGAGGAAGCGCAGGGATGGTTGCACCGCCCAACCAGCAGCAGCTGCGCGCACTCGCGCATTCCCGCTCTCTCCCGCCGCAGTCCCCCGCCAGCGCCGCCCGCGCAGCCGCCGCGGTGGCAAATGTTAAGGCTGGCGCATTTCCTAAGAGCCCCTCGGTAGCAATGAGCGGAAGGCCTTCTAGCGGAAGCGGAACGGCGCAAGCGCAGACGCGCACAGGCGCGGGGAGGGATTTCGCCCCGCGAACGCCACGTCAGCTAAGCGTTTCCGGCCAGTCTAACCGCGCCGGCTCTGCGCTTTCAGCTGCGCTCCTCCCCGTGAGTCATGCGCTTCCGATAAGATCACAGTCGAGCTCCCGCTCGTTAAACTCACACTCGCCACAGCAACAGCAACAGCAGCAGCAACGGCCGCAGCTGCGGAAACCGAAGCTGCCGCCTCTCGATATCACAGGAATTCAAGACGAGTCTGTAGAGGAAGATCTGAGCCCGTCTGTGTACCCGCTACAATCAGAACCGTTACAACCGCCGCAGCATAGCAGGCAGCCGAGCCAGGGTCACGACACTAAGCAACCGCTAAAAGGAATACTTAAATCAAGCAAGGTTCAGCCAGACCCAGACGTGGGGGAGCAGCGGGAGGGGGGGGGTGAGCAACGGGACGGGGGATCTGATCGGAAACCAGCAGCAGCGCTAAGGCGGTGCGGAAGTTCGGAAGCGGTTCACGGGATGGGGGGAAACGCGGAAAGAGCTGGGGAGAAAGTGGAAGGCGCTGGGGCAGCGGAGAGAACCGCGGGGAAAAACGGGGAACCGTGTGTGCAATTTGAAGAGAGTTGTGTGGCGCGGAAAGGAAGTGGCAAGGTTGCGGAGGAGAGTAGGCTTCGTGCTGCTGCAGCGAAAGGGCAGGAACGGAAGATAAAAGCGGAGAAGTCTGTGAAGGGGACAGTGGCGAAGGAGAAGGGGAGTGGTGTTACCAGGAAGGTGTCTCGTGAGGGGAAGAGCAAAGAGGAAGCGTCATCACCAGTTATGGCGAAGCAGTGCTTACTGCCTTGGTTGTCTAAGAAGGCATAACTCTAACATTGTTGGCTGAAGCCTAACAAGTCACCTGCTGTGCATAGACTGATCTAAGCCTTGGATCGGTGACAGGTGCTTACTGAGCAAGTCCTTGATTAGCGCGGTTTGGTGGTAGTATTAGTTCTGGCCTTGATTCCACTCCTGTGTAACTCTGTAGACCAGCGTGTCACTTCCTAAGACCTTTGTTCTCCCTGGCTTGTGCTAATTGACTTGCGTCATGTACCTCTGTGTCAACAAATGTTGTCACATGGTATGGCATATTGATACTGAATAATTCCCTTCTGAAGGCTACAATCAATCCTAGAGGAATTACGGTATGGATGATAAGGTAGTCGTCCATCTTTATCAACATTGTGGTGGTTTCTCGTATGTCCCGTCGTCGGCTCTTATCGAATCTGTCAAGGTGTTGCACCAAATGGGGCCCAGTGTTCTACACTATACGACGGTCAAATAAACACTCAAAGTGGTTTGGTGCGGTATTGAGAGATACTGCTGGCCCACACAGTCGGCTTCCTTGGGAGTTCCGTGGTTTCATTCAGATGCTGTCAGTGGAGTCAAACACGTGAGTCGGTGGGTAGCTGCTCGTTACCTAAGGCATCTAATTGCTAAGCTAGAAGATCCGATTACGCACCGCGGTTTCTTTACCGCGTTTCGCGCATCAAAACGGTGGTCGTCTCGTTGTGTTGACTATCAGTGCTACCATTGCTCCTCGCTGGAAAGTTTAGATGACTATTTACTAGCAACACCAACTAGTTTCGAGGCTGGCTGCAAGTCAGATGGTTGTGTAAATGAATATTAATTAGATTTAGCTTATAGTTGTTATGGACTCTATCTTATCAGATAAAATTCGGTGGGATTCTTTGTAGTAATTAGACTAGGGGAGTTTAGCCCAGTCTTACAATCGCAACGTGTCGCAATGGTAGTCCATTTAACTGGCGGTTCGCCGTCGCACGCATCTCCAGGAGACTCTCACTCGAAGCGCAGTAAGGGAATCAACTACCGTGCTCAGATCAATCGGTTCCTCGTGTCCGTGATCGGCGGCGTTGGAAGCGGCGGACCTGCCGGGTCGCGACATCGAAGGGTTCAAGTTGGTCTCGCCCTCGCCGCAATCACGTTCCTGTATGGTCACTCTCGAGCGCCTTAATAAGTCAAATTTTGTGGTCCTGGTGCGTAACGATACAATCTTGAAAGCAGTTGTGATGGAGCCTCGTCGGAGTCAGCCTTTCCAACCTCTCTCCGCACTGCACGTGTCATGTTGCAGTTGGTTCACACTCTTTGTCGCGCACATGGAATCCCCACAATCTCCCCCAACATACTTCCCCCACGTCTTCCCCCCGCCTCTCCCGACCTCACCCTCCTCCGCTCTTGTACCGCAGATGGCTCACACTCCGCTGCTGGCTGCTGCCGTGCCGTTCAGATGCCCTTCCCTCCTTCACATTTCACATCGTTTCCTACCCACCCACACAGATACCCCCTTCCCCTTCCCCTTCCCCCTTTGCCTCCCCCAGTTCTACCTACACACACACCGTGGCTCCCCTATTGCAGATGGCTCACGCTCGGCCGCTGGTTGCTGCCGTTCACCTGTCCGTTTCCCTGTCATTGTCTCCTAGCTACCCATTCATACCTCCTTTCCCCGCACCCCCTCCCTCCCTCCCTCCACCCCTTTTTCTCCTACACACCGTGGCTCCCCTATTGCAGTTGACTGACGCTCGGCCGCTGGTTGCTGCCGTTCACCCGCTCGTTTCTGCTTCATCGATTTATGTCAAACCTTCATGTCTCCTGATCCCATTCCCTCTCCCCACCTCCCTAAACCGTGACTCCCCTATCGCAGATGGCTGGCGCTCGGCCGCTGGTTGCTGCCGTTCACCCGCTCGTTTCTGCTTCACCTTTCACATCGTTTCCCACCCACCCACACACTAACCCCCTTCATCCCCCCTCCCCCCTTGCCTCCACCCCCCCACACCCTCCCCCCTCTGTTTTTCCTGCAAACCGTGGCCTTTCTATCCCAGATGGCTCACGCTCGGTTGCTTGTTGCTGCCGTTCACCTGCCCGGTTCTCTTTCACCATCTCCCAGCCACCTATTTATCCCTCCTTTCCCGTCCCACCCTTTCCCCCCCCACCACACCCGTCCTCTACACCGTGGCCTTTCTATCCCAGATGGCTCACGCTCGGCTGCTTGTTGCTGCCGTTCACCTGCCCGTTCCCCCGAGGAGGCCGCATTCACAAGCGGGTTAAGGTAAATCCCCAGTCCAATCCAATTTCAAGTGATGGACACGAGAGGGTGGGTGGGTCTGTTCTACCCATCCTCTTTCATTCCCTGAAAAGGCATCGAGAATCTGGGTAATAGTAAGTGCTCAGTTTATCCGTTTGAGGCACCTCAAAAGTTGTTTTATCCATCCTCTTTCATTCCCTAAAAAGGCATCCAGATGCTGGGCAATAGTAAGTGTTCAGTTTATCTTTCTCACCGTGCACTGCATAGCATGCACCCGTAGGAACCCTTATTGCCCAGTGCCTCAGTAAATCCCCAGTCCAGGTTTTGGACCGTGCATATTACGCATGTGCGAACATGATTGATGATCAGATCAGGGCCTCTCCTCGCCCCTTCTTTGTTCTCTGTCGCCCCTTCTTCGTTCTCTGTCGCCCCTTCTTCGTTCTCTGTCGTCCCTTCTTCGTTCTCTGTCGCCCCTTCTTCGTTCTCTGTCGCCCCTTCTTCGTTCTCTGTCGCCCCTTCTCCGTTCTCTGTCGCCCCTTCTTCGTTCTCTGTCGCCCCTTCTCCGTTCTCTGTCCCCTAGCCAGCCTGCCAGTTTCAATCGTCAGCTGCCAGACGCCATTACTATGGCACTCTGAGTCGACTCATCAGTCACAGCCTATGTTGCGGAAGACGCGTCTAGCGTCTTAGACGGTTGCGTCTAGACGCAGCGTCTAAGACGCTAGACGCATTTCAGGCCAGATTAGACGCATATTAGACGAAACCCCGGGCAGGCCAAAAAAATTGTACGGGCAGCCTAAAAAATCTTCTATAGGCCATGGGAAGGGGGAGGGGGAATGGGATGAAGACGACCTGGGTATAGCAGACGAATTAGTCTGCTGGGACATTCATCGAGATCTAGAACTTCTAGATCTAGCATTGACGCTCAAAATTTCATATCTCAAATTGGTTGGGTTTTCTAGATTCAGTGCGGTGAAGATCGGTAATGGGAGGCGGAATTGGTTGGTCACGAAATGGTTCACAAATCTGTTGGCTGCGGGGGACGAATTCCAATTTCGACTTAGCTTTCCGTTTCTCAATTTCTCTCACACCTCCTCCGATGCTTCTTCTACAACGTCTTTATTTGGCCGGCTCATTGTAGAGCAGAGGCGTGCAACACTTTAGTCCTAGCTGCTGATACTATTATAAGGCGTGGGGCTAAAAGCTAGGTTTGGGGGATGTTATCAAGGTCGAAATGGATGGGAGGGGTTGAAATTTCGCGCGCGATTTTTTTTTTCGGGCTGACCGAAAAATTTTCCCCCATGCGTCTAGCGTCTAAAGGTGCGTCTTGAGTCTAGCGTCTAGACGCAGCGTCTAGACGCTAGACGCAGGACGGTCCCTGCGTCTTCCGCAACATAGGTCACAGCTTCCCTTTTCCCATCCCTTCTCCCCGCCTTTCGCCCCACTCTCGCCAGCCTGCCAATTTCACATCGGATATTTTCAACCGCCAGCTTCCAGACGCGATTACCACGGCACTCAAGCAGCCGTGGAAGAAACAGGTGAGCAGGACTGATAGGAGTGGTGACGTGGACGAATGCAGGTTGAGTAGGATCGATCAGGTGTGAGTAGGATCGATCAGGTGTGAGTAGGATCGATCAGGTGTGACTAGGATCGATCAGGTGTGAGTAGGATCGATCAGGTGTGACGAGGATCGATCAGGGCCAATCAGTTGACATAGACATGCTGGTTGACGTGGCTAGAGCAGGCGACGCTGGGTGACGTGGCAAGAGCAGGTGACGCTGGGTGACGTGGCAAGAGCAGGTGATTCAGGGTGACATGGCAAACCCAGTTTACTATGAATACAGTTGTTGTCAGAATCTAGACGAGGGAATGATTGCATTGAGAAGGAGCTAGGAGCAGAAGCAGCCCCGACCTCCTCAGTACCAAGGATGTCAACAGCAGCAGCAGAAGCCTAGGAGGGGGCAAGGGGGGAGGGGGCAAGAAGGGTGTGCGAGGAGTGCCACGAGAAGCACCTACAGCGACTATGCTAGTCTCAGCTGCAAGGAAGTGCTTCTCAAGCAGGTCGACAGTGAGGTCAGTGGGGTCAAGTGCGAGAAAGTGGTCCCTGACTGCGCGAAGAGAGTCAGGGAGGCGGGTGACTATGAAGTAGAGAGTTTGGTACAAGTATTAACCCTAAACCCTAAACCCTAAACCATAAACCCTGGTACACGTACTAACCCTAATTGGGTTGTACCCCTTATGGGCTACCCCACTACAGTCTACACAATATAAACATTATAACAGTTTGACTGTTGTTTATTTGTAGAATGACGTTTGAGGAATTTCTGAACCTCATCTTGTAGAATGCGCGTTTGCCTGACAAATACTCACGTAATTCCATCTCAGCAGGCTCGGTTGCCTTCTGCCCGCCGCCCACTGCATGTCTTTTGAGGCGCCTCAAAAGCAGGCTCACTGGCCTTCTGCCCGCCCCCCACTGCATGTACGGCAGCCTTTCAAGAGACCAGGGAGCATACATACTCCTTTCCGTCCCTCCCTTCCCTCCCCCCCCCTCCCTCTCCCCTCCCTCTCCCCTCCCTCTCCCCTCCCTCTCCCCTCCCTCTCGCCTCCCTCTCGCCTCCCTCACCCCTTCCTCTCAACTTCCTCTCCCCTCCCTCTCCCATTCCTCTCCCCTCCCTCTCCCCTTCCTCTCCCCTCCCTCTCCCCTCTCCCCCTCCCAGCCCATCCCAGTGGTGGTGGTTCACCAGCAACCATCGGGCTCAGTGGCCTGCCACCCCTCGCACTTCATGCACCGCAACCTGCGGCACACGAGGCAGCGCAACGCAGTGGTGTATTTCATCGGGCCGGACAGCGACGAGTGTGTGGAGATGGCGAGGGAGCTCGATATCGTTCTCGACCCCGTGATAGGGTATCAAGATGTGGTCGGCTGGTTCTCTGCTAACCTCGGGGATCCTGTGTCCTACCAGGTAGGCTTGTAGGCACGTCAGGCTCAGGAGGTGAGAGGCAGGCTCAATGTACCTCAGGGCCCTGGGTTAAGGAGGTGAGTCACGTGTAAAAAGGGTATTTTTGAGACGTCTCAAAAATTCCATTTTTTACACGTGGCTTCTCTGGAGGTGAGAGGCAGGGTCAATGTACCTCAGGGCCCTGGGTTAAGGAGGTGAGTGTGTGGAGATGGCGAGGGAGCTGGATATCGTTCTGGACCCGGTCATAGGGTATCAAGACGTTGTGGGCAGGTTGTAGAGAGGGTGTTTTTTAGACGTCTGAAAAACACCCTCTCTACACGTGGACCCAGTCATAGGGTATCAAGACGTTGTGGGCTGGTTGTCAGCCAACCTCGGGGATCCTGAGTGCTACCAGGTATGAATGCTATACGCTGTGAGGTATATATGGTGTGAGGTACTTCAGGCCAGGTAGTGAGTGTGTGGAGATGGCGAGGGAGCTGGATATTATGCTTGACCCGGTCATAGGGTATCAAGACGTGGTGGGCTGGTTCTGTGCTAACCTCGGGATTCCCTGTTTCCCTCCACTCCCCACCCCGCCTCCTCCTTCGCAGGTGCGCTGGTTCATCCTCAAGGCCTTCATGGAGCGCCATGCCTTCCCCCGCATCTTCCACCCTAAGGTCCCCGTGTGTGCCCTTCTCACCTCATCTCACCCATGCACTCTACCCCCCTCTCCCCTCATCTCTCCCCCCTCCCATCAGGTGCGCTGGTTCATCCTCAAGGCCTTCATGGAGCGCCATGCCTTCCCCCGCATCTTCTTTCTCGACTCGGACGTCATTCTCTTTGCCAATGTCACTGAGCTCGCCACCATGCTGTTTTCAAGGGTTCACCTGGTTGTTTCCCAGCGCTGGCCCAGGTACGATGTGAGGTCACGGATATAGGTGCTTGGGTATGGATGTACACGTATGGGTGAGGTCATGGGTATAGGTGCGTGGATATGGGGTACCCGTATGGGTGTGGGTACGTGGGTGGGTGCATTTTTCTCCTCGACTCGGACGTCATTCTCTTTGCCAACATCACTAAGCTCGCCACCATGCTCTTTTCAAGAGTCCAGTTGGTCGTCTCCCAGCGCTGGCCTAGGTACAGATATGGGTGTAAGGGCTTAGGCATGGGGAGTATGGAGGTTCGGGTATGGTTTTCTCTTTGCCAACATCACTGAGCTCGCCATCATGCTCTTCTCGAGGGCGCACTTGGTCGTTTCCCAGCGCTGGCCCAGGTACAGGGCGTGCTTATGAGAGTATGGATTACAGGTTTTTGAGACGTCTCAAAAATCTACTTTCTACACCCAGCGCTGGCCCAGGTACGGGGCGTGCTTATGAGAGTATGGATTACAGGCATGGTTGTGGGGGCGTGGCTACGGGAGCATGCCTCTTTGCCAACGTCACTGAGCTCGCCACCATGCTCTTCTCCCTCGTGCATCTTGTGGTGTCGCAGCGCTGGCCCAGGTACGTCACAACATCCTCGTGTGGATGTTGGGGCTGGGAGTTATGGCCTGTATGGTATGGGTGTGGATCTGAGGGTGCCTCTTCGCCAATGTCACTGAGCTCGCCACCATGCTGTTTTCGAGGGTGCACTTGGTGGTGTTCCAGCGCTGGCCCAGGTATGGCCAGGGTGGGGTACAGCGTACGACGTCCTCACGTGCTCTGGATGTCCTCTTTGCCTTCCCATTCCCCTCCTCCCACCATACACTCACTCCATCACTCCCTATCAGTCTCCGTGCTCCGGGTCCCAGCCAGTATGCATCCACGGCAGCAAGTGGGCACGTGTCCCTCTGGATGTACGATGCCCTCTCAGACTTCCCATTCCCCTCCCTCCCTCTCCCTCCCTCCCTCCCTCCCTCCCCCCCCTCCCTCCCCTCCCTCCCTCCCTCCCTCCCCTCCCTCCCTCCCTCCCTCCCTCCCTCCCTCCCTCCCTCCCTCCCTCCCTCCCTCCCTTTCCTCCCTCCACATACACACGCACTCCCTATCAGTCTCCGAGCCCCGGGTCCCAGCCAGTATGCATCCACAGCAGTGAGCGGACACGTGTCCCTCTGGACTTATGACGCGCTCTCAGACTTCCTCGACTTCTTCCAGCTCTTTGTTCAGGTGTGTGCTCAGGTGCTGTTCAGGTGCTGCTCAGCTGTGTGCTCAGGTGCTGTTCAGGTGCTGCTCAGCTGTGTGCTCAGCTGGCACTCCGGTCTGGTGTATGCTTTCCATGCTTAAACTTTCAGGTTATCTGTTCTTCTGCTCCCGTACTGCCCGTGTCAGTATCTTTTTAAAGCCAAGCGCCGTAACTCGCATACTGCTCCCCAGACTGCCCATTCCCAACCCAACGCGTACACTTGTGTGTGAGAACTTGATGCATCTGTCAAGATTTTCAAATATTCTCTAATTATCGTCCATTTTTCTCTCTCTCAATCATTAAAGCTCGCGTCTCATATTTCCAACCGTTTAACACTTGGTTGGGTTTGCCCGACTGTGATTGGGTAACGAAAACGAAATATTTGACGAGTGGGTGAAAAAATCACAGCGAACTACCAAAACAGTCGAGGCCAAAACAAACCAGGGTGGGTTGGTTTGGGTGGAAAACGAGCCAAGGGGGACAGGTTCGGTCCCCCCTTCTGTCAATGTTGAGTTTCAGAGTCTCATATTTTTGGAAGTTGTAAACGCTTGGTGTGCACGGGAAGTGTGCGACAGCCAACTTTCCCAAACCACCCCTTGCTTTGGTGTGCTTTGCGACAAACTTTGCTGTTACCAAATTCCAACCGTTTAACACTTGGTTGGATAGTAGAAATATGAGACGCGAGCTTTAAGGAACTTGAAATGGCCTCCATCTCTTTCGTCTTTACTTCAGGAAGCAACGCTGTACGGCCAGCCTGGTGACGCTCGTCTTGTAGCGGAGCGTGCTTACAACGACATGGTGGTGCTGGGATGGTACACACACCGGGTGTGCTGGATGAAGAACCCGCAGAACCTGCACCCTCAGGTGTGATCGCTATTATCCTGACATTCCTACTTGTGCTCGGGCCCCTACTTACAACGACATGGTAGTGCTGGGATGGTACACGCACCGGGTGTGCTGGATGAAGAACCCTCAGAACCTGCAACCACAGGTGTGGTTGATAATATCCCATCGTGCATAGAGTGTGCTTGCGTCCCTACTTCCCCACCCCACGCGTGCTTACAACGATATGTCGGTGCTGGGATGGTACACGCACAGGGTGTGCTGGATGAAGGACCCGCAGAACTTGCACCCACAGGTATGGTTGATGAACTGTAGTGTTTAAACCCCGAGACTCATACGCGAGGGCTCAAATCCTTGGGCCCTCCAGGTTACAACAACACCTTCCTTCCTCGCTGCGTCCCTTCCTTTCCCTCCTTGCTTCCCTTCCCCTCCCCTCCTTGCTTCCATCCCCACCCCTCCTTCCCTTCCCCTCCCTCCCTTCCCACACCCCCCCCCCTCCCATCAGTGCATCTGTGACAAGGAGAGTGGAGTCACTCCTGAGCCGTCAGTGCACATACGAGGGCAGTTCACACCCAAGTTCCGGGTCCACTCGTTTGCCATGCCTCAATGGTGGCGTGTGCAATGCTGCCCTCCCCTCCTTCTCTTCCTGCCTCCTTCCCTTCTTGATTTTTCCTCCCTCCCTTCCATTTCCTCCCCTCCCATCAGTGCATCTTTGACAAGGAGAGTAGAGTCACTCCCAACCGGTCAGCGCGCATACGGGGGATGTTCACCCCCAAGTTCCTGCCTCCCTTCCCTCCCCTCTGTCCCTTCCCACCACTCCCCTTCCCCATCAGTGCATCTGTGACAAGGAGAGTGGGGTCACTCCTGAGCGGTCAGCGCGCATACGTGGAAAGTTCACACCCAAGTTCCGGGTCGACTCGTTTGCCACGCCGCGCTGGTGCAATGCGACTGACTGGTGGGACGAGGGGTGGTGCGTCTTTGACAACAACTTCTCCATTCAGGTCAGAACAGAGTCACCTCTTTCCAGGCCCTCACCTCCCTTCCGGTTGCAGCCAACCCTCCTTGCCCATTTTCATGAGTTGATTTCCAATCTCCCTTCCCCATTACCCCTTCCACCTTCCCCTTCCCCCTTCCTCCTTACCCCTTCTCGTTCCCCCCATCTCACCACCCCCCTCCTCCCACCATTGCTGCCCCCTCTTGCCCTCCCTCCCTCCCACCTGCAGACACCCACACAGTTCTTCAAGTATCGGCCTCAGGATGGCATGAAATGCCCCTCATCAATGCACTACACTCACTTTGATGACTGGGCCAAGGAGGGCGAGAAGCAGACGTCGCCGGTTCAATTCCTGGGAGTGCACTTTCAGGCGCACAGAAAGGGGTACCTCACAAGGGGGGATGACCCAGCAGCCACATGGGGTTCTAGCCCGGATTGATAATGTGATGTGAATTAGTTATTATTGTTACCTGATTATGTTGCCTGCAAGGTTTTCACACAATGTCTGCTTGCAGTCACATCCATTTGTATATGACATTGCAGCTTTGGACAGTACCCCTGTTTTTATGAATCGTGCATTCCGCTTTTGGAGCGTGAAACGGAGAAGCTCTATCGAGTACAAGCAACTTCAGCTGTAGCAAGCCGGTGCCCCGGTGTCACCTCAGTTTCTCTTCCCTTCAATTCATCTCTCCAGGAGCCTGAATTCCATTCTCGTTTTCACAAGATTTCCTTTTCGACGGCTGGTTCTGCTAGTTTCCTGACGCTAGACCCCGCATCTTCACAGCTAAAAAAATGTCTGGTCTACCCGACGACGTCGCTGCGTCGAGCAGCAGCACTAAACCGGCGAAAGCGCCAGTTCCAGGCGAACTGAGCAGCGCTGGTAACATCAGCATCGCCAACACCGAAGCAGATTCAGACTCCATGACCAAACCGCTCGTCTCTCGCCGGGACGACGACGAAGACGACGACGACAATGTCGATAACGACGAAGAAACCGGCGGATTGACAGGAGCGAAGGCAGGACTACCCGCCATGGCTAAATTCTCCGAGGAAACCGGCGAAAGCGGGGAAAGCGGTCGTTTCGGCGCCGGCGGTCATCTGAATCTGGACGCTTCCGCGTCCGTGTTCAACGCATCTGAGCGTCCCGTCCGCGAACCAATCTGGGCCGGAGCTTTCATAATCTGCGCGGCGGTTTTCGTTCTGCGGGAGTTCTCCTGGTTCATCCGACCGTTACTGTCCCTTAACTCCTTCGCGTCGCGTTTCTTCTCTCTCGAAGCGCTCTCGGCGCTTGCCATCGCCTTGGTGTCAATCTTCCCGACCGTGTTCGTTTTCCTTGTCTGCGTTAGAAGGATGTCCGTTAAGCTCGTCAAGTGGTGCCTCAGAGTTACTGTAGCGTTCTTCGTTATTCACAGCCTCATGGCGCTTCACACGCCGCCTCCGCCGCCGCCGGGATCCCCGGCGGCTCCTGCGGCGCCTGACGCACCCCCACAGTCCGCGATTTCCGGGGTTCCCTTATCCACATCCACGTCAGCAGCCGCGCATGGGGGTATCGGCGGCCAATCAGCGGCGAGCATTTTGGAGTCCGCGGCTCCATTCTCCATGTCGCGCTTCCTGCGTGACACGTCAGCAGACGGGCCTCACATCCACGTCATCACTGCCACGGCTGCCAATCACCTCGCTGCTTATCTCAACAGGCGAAAGCTCCAGGAAGCTGCAGAACCAGCGCCAGCAGAAAATCCGAACCAGCCTGTACCCCCACCTCCTGGACCTGACCCTAGAGCAAACTACGTTCTCAGTCTGGAAATGTTCTTAACAGACTTACTTAACGGATTGGCCGTTCTAGCAGTGCTACTGGTCTGCAGGGATTACCACCCGCTTTCCTCCACTGTGATTGGTCGAGCGTCCCAGGCTGTAATGACCCGTGCCCGGGGCCTCATAGCTGGGGTGGCAATCTTTTCCTTCCTCTGCATCGTCCTGTTTGTACCCGTTATAGCCAGCCTCGTTGAGCTGGTTTTCTCCTGCAGGTTCTTACTCCAGCAGGACCCGTTGTTCGGATCGCCGGATTCACCGTTTCACTCCCAGGAGGAGCGATGTGTCTTATGGAGTGACACTATAGCGGTTCAGCACTGGCTGTCCCCTCTCGCTGTAATCTTCCTCTTTATAGGCATCTGGATGGCGTATCAAATCGGCGTAACTCTCCAGTTCATCGCCGCAGCTACAGTGGCGCAGGTCTACAGTAACAGCGACTCCAACCAATCAGACAACAAAACCAGCAGCAGCAGGGAGGGGAGCTTGCGAGACGAAGCGGGAGGGTGGTTCGATCGAGATGCTCTGGTGGACCGATGGAACGTTGTGGCTCGGGCAGTCAAGCTAGCTTACTCCTCTTCTATGGGTACCATCTGCCTTGTCAGCTTTATCCTGACCCTGGCAACGGTGGTGTCTGTGCTGCTGAATGTTCTCGTGATTTGGCTGTTCGGGATGTCGGCGATTGTCGTGGTGCCACGTGTCGCGATCGCATTCGCTCTCTTCATCTTCACTTATTTCTTCACCTGGTGAGTCCAGCTGCAAGGACTGACTCCTCGTGTGTCCTCTCCTCAAGTCCTCACTTCTTCATGTCCTTGTTCATCCCCACTTTCCTCGTTTTTCTCAGCCCAGTTCCAATCCCATGACCCGCGTGCATACACCCTCCGCTTTCCCCTCCCCCCAACCCCTACATGCGATCGTCCCACGTGATTCTCCTCTCCCGCCACTCCCCGCTCCTTCGTTTCTCAAGTCTTGGGGTGTCTCAAAATTTGCTTCTTTTTTCTCGTCTCCTTCCCTGCACCTTCCTCCGCGTCATCATTCCACCTGCATATCCTGCCACTCCCCCACCCTCCAACCCTATCCCCAGGTTCGTCATGGTGGTGGTGGCGGTATCAGGCCACGCCTCTTCCATTCCATCATCCCACGTGCGTCTCTTCCCACTCCCCCCAACCCCACCCTCCAACCCTCCGGCCCCCCAACCCCCACCCTCCAACCCTCTCCCCCAGGTTCGTGGTGGTGGTGGCGGCCATATCAGGCCACGGCTCGCGCCGCTCGCTCGCTCTCTCTGCTTCTCTGCTCCGCAACCACCTCAAGTCCGCCCTCGCTGTCAACCTCACTGCCAAGTGCATCCTCGGTGTCATCTCCACCGTCGTCACCCTTCTTCTCCTCCTCTTCCTGGTAAGAAGTGTCTGCCTGCATGTGTTTCCCTGTTATCAGCTGTCTCCACCTCAAGTCCGCCCTCGCTGTCAACCTCACAGCCAAGTGCATCCTCGGAGTCTTCTCCACCGTCCCTCTCCCGTCACCCATCCCACCCCATCTAGGCCATCCTCATGCTGCCTCTCTTCGGTCACCTTCTCAAGACCGACACCATCCAAGCCCTCTTTGTGCTCCTCCCCGTCACCCTCGCCGTCGGCATCACAGGCTTCTCTTTCAAGCTCGTATTCGTGCCCGTCGTCCACCGTGTCTCATCTCCTCTGCTTTCCAGTAACCAACCTCCACTGCATCCTCCCTTCCCCCATTTCCTGTCTGCCCTTTCCTCTCTCCATTCCCGCCCCTCTCTCCCTGCTCTTCTCGCTCTCCCTGCTCTTCTCGCTCTCCCTGCTCTTCTCGCTCTCCCTGCTCTTCTCCCTCTTCCTGCTCTTCTCCCTCTCCCACTACAGTTTATCCTCATGCTGCCCCTCTTCGGCCATCTACTCAAGACCGACACCATCCAAGCCCTCTTCGTCTTCCTCCCCGTCGCCCTCGCTGTGGGCATCACAGTCTTCTCCTTCAAGCTCGTCTTTGTGCCCGTCGTCGCCACCATGTTTGTGTGCTTTGCGTGGGATAACCGCATCGAGGTGGATTCTGCTGGGGGTGCCACTGGGGGTGCTGCTGCTCCCTTGGCCACCTCACACACTGAAGAGCTGGTAGCTACAGTGGTGCCCAGGGCAACTGCTTAGGCCTGTGATAGGTTGTGTCTGGTTGGTACTTGCCGCGCTTGCTTGATGCAAGTATTGGCATCCTTGTGCTCACCGTATCACCCTAAATATAGCCTAGTACTGTAATTTGACTTCGTTTTCTTAAAATGAATGTTTTCACACCATCCCATCCCAGCAGGGCCTCAGTTATCAGGATAATTTATCCTGATTCTCCTGAATTCAGGATAGGTGTCGTGTGCTAGTCCTGGAAAAACAGCATAACAGGAATAATTGTCCTGTAATTTCAGTATAACGGTTATTTTGCGTACTGAAAACTCAGGATAAGGCTGTAGGTTCAGCCCTGATGAGTCAGGATAGTGTCGAATCACGCTCTGAGGCGAGATGTACTGTACGAATATTCTCCTGGGTTTTGGGGCTAAAGTATGTACGGGCGAGCACCTCAAACATAGGAGCCAGTAGGAATCGAACAAGAGACCTTTATACGTATGGCTTTATCACTTTACCCGCTACAACACTTCACCTATCGCTGAATGTAGCACTAAATTTAGAGGATACTGTTAAATGTAGCACTGGCATTTCAGGATACCTCACCCTGTGCAGCCCTGACAATTCAGGGCAAATTCTGATTTCCTAAAAACTGCCCTGAGGCCTCGGTGTACCCCCAAACGAATCTGAGGCCCTGCATCCCAGGTGTACACTACACAACACAATCCCTTCCTCAACTTCAGGCATGGGTATGAGACATGGGTGTATAGGCACTGGTAGGAGGGGCAGAGAAGGGAACCCAACCCAACCCAGCCCAGTCCAGCCCAGCCCAACCCAAACCACTGCAGTTGGCCGCATTCTCTACATTTGAAAACAAGTTGGGCTACATTGGAAATACGGTATAGGTTATTACAGAAACTGTTTTTTTTACATTTCCAGAGCACACTACTTGGCGGGTTGCTGAATGGTCGAGGAATCGGGCTTGGGCGTGTCTTTCAGTGAAGCTTCCTTCAGAGCCACTGAAGCTGCTGCAGCCGCTGCATCGTCGGACGCTGTCTTCCTGCTCCCACGCACGCATTGCGGACGAGGAGCGGAGGAGTAAAGGAGGAGGCAGAAATGAGGGGAAAAGGATAAAAAACGAAGAAAAATAGGAAGACGAAGGAGAAATAATAGGAAGGAAGCGCGAGACCGTGACAGGAAGCAGAGGAGGAACGAGGGTCAAGTGTACGCATAAGAAGGAAAGGAGAGCTTACTTCTTGTCGACGACTGCACCCTTGGTGCTCAGAAACGAACGAAAGAGCGCCGAGTTGACGTCGTAAATCATCTTGCGCGGCTAACTGACGGCTGACAGCTGACGGCTGATGAGTTACGACTGCCGACTAATGGGGTGACGCTGTGTGGGTTTAGGTGCAAGCTAGTCGTTCGAACAACACCGCGAATCACGCGAGATTCGGGAAGCGACAGCAAGCTTGAGAATGCCAAAAAATGGTGCTGAAGCGCGATAAGGGGGGAAATAATCTAGCGGAATTCTTGTGGTGCACTGTTAGTGGCTGGATCTTGGTTTGTGTGACCTAATGGGGGCCAAATTCTGGTCATTGTGTAGGGTTCCATGCGGTTCTAGTAGACGAAACCGTGTTACAGAGGTCTAAAGAGCGGTGTCCGGTTGAGAAAGATGGATGGGGTTCCCCTAAAACCCTCGTGGGGTTCGGGATGAAAGACATCGGGTAACACGGGCCGGGAACAACGACGGCCGCTACGATTTTTTCTGCTCTGATGAATTAGAACTGATATTTGTTTCACTTGTGAAACAAAAGCAGTCACCCATCGGCTTACTCTTAACGAGTTGCTTATTATCGCAAATCCTTCCCATCACTTGCAGTCGCACAAATTGCCTTGAGAAAGACGGCTCCGAGCCACAATACTATTCGGAGTAAACCGATCTAGCGTATCCGAACCCGCGGAAACGTATATCAACGCATCCAACCGTATTGAGTGATGTCATGGCACCCTCTTCCAATCCGTGTCTGTGGAGCTCCAGATTCCAGAAGCCTCCAAGTGGGAATCCGCCCTGATAGCAGCAGCAACAAAAAAATCTGACGTTCGGCGATACCGTGCGACGTCGTAGGCGATATTGCACTCTGTGTACTTGGCCGTTTTGGAGTCGACTCGGCGTCGTTTTCGTGTCGACTTTTTAAGCGGCCATCAAATTCGTTTTTTTTTTTGCGAAGTTTGCGACTGTCGCCACTCGACTTACGACTGTCGCTGACTGGTTACCTTCGCAGAAACGGCCCGACAGATTGTGGCCGATTTTTTTGAGTTCCCGATTTTACACGCCCTTATCACTTTGCTCTCCGTGGCTGAGCAAGCAGCGAGGTCTTCACTTCGCGACTCGCGGGTGATCTACAATTCTCCGTTACCAGCTATTGGTTCTTTTCGCACGAAACTTTATCCCTCGAGGGTGATTCATGGCGAGGATGCTAGCTAACAAGCTCTACGCGCCGCACAGGGCGGAGTGGCCCTTGCGATTTAGTAACGGAAAGATTGATTTTGGAAGAATTAGTTATGGGATCAAGAAGAGTCTTTTCAGTGGTAGTGGCAGTCTTGATAGCAGTATCACCATCCGATCGTATCGCCCAGTTATCGCCAGTGCTAACGACACGATTTTTCCCCTCACCTCTGGCATAAGAGGGCGTGAGGAGGCAATTAACCTACCATTTAAATCAAATCTGAATGAGCAGCACAGATCAAAGCATCACGCAGCGTCCGTCCATAGTCGCCACGCGTTAGGAGGGACCCGGTTCGCTCGCAGTCTAGCAACGTCCATAATCCCCGACGCTCCGCCAATTACGGACGGACAGCTGGAACAGCTGCACGATTTCGTGGCTGATAGTCGGCGGTTGCTGGTGCTGACTGGCGCTGGGGTGAGCACGGAGAGCGGCATTCCGGATTATAGAAGGTCAGTCTATAAAGAGAATGTTTTTCAATAGACTGGTGGTGGTGCTAACAGTCGCTGTGATCAGCACGCCAGAAGAGTTCCTGAAACTTCCTTGAAGGCTTTTTTTTGTGATCTTTCGGTTTTTTATTAATTGATTCTGTTTTTTGTTTTCATGGTTTTGCACGACTGCATGGATCTTTGCGTTGTGAAAACGTGCAGCCCAGGCGGAGCATACAGTAAGGGGTACAAGCCAATGATCCACCAGGCAGGTACTTGAGAGGGAGATTCACGTTCTAGAGTTTTCATGCATTTGAAAATACGGCTATTAAGGAAGCATTCAGTAAAGGGTACACGGCAAGATCCACCAAACACTCTGCTTGTTCCATTATTAAGCCTCTTAACCCATTCTCATGTTTTTTAACATGGTGTTGGGAGAGTGATTTGAGGCCCCTCAATTCTCAACTTGTTGCCTCCAACTCCAGGACTTTGTTCGTTCCCTGTCTGCCCGAAGACGCTACTGGGCTCGCAGCTTCATTGGCTGGCGAAGATTTTCAGCTGCCCGGCCGGGCACGGCGCACAGGGCACTGGCGCGGCTGCATGAGAGGGGGAGACTAGCGGGTGGCATTATCACACAGAATGTTGACAGGTGCGATTCAGAAGCTGTAAGGCGTGACTGGGGGGACAGTGAGGGGCACGGCGCACAGGCCACTGGCGCGGCTGCATGACAGAGGGAGAGTGGCAGGTGGCATTATCACTCAGAACGTTGACAGGTGCGTTTCAGACGCTGTTATATATCAAATGCTGCCAGATGTCTCACCGATGCTGCCAGATGTGTCACCGATGCTGCCAGATGTCTCTCCAGTGCTGCCACGTATTACACCACTTGGCCGGAAGCCCAGCCAGAAAGCCCAGCCGGAAATCCCAGCTTTTTAGCTCCTTGGCGCTCCTGCGACCTTCCTTGAAACCACATCCCCTCCCTCTTCCCCCGTCGCTCCTTCCTCTTCCCCGCAACTCCCCATGCACGCGCCCATCCATCCTGGTTCCCCTTAGATTGCACCACATTGCGGGGAGCCCAGCCCTTGAACTCCATGGCACTACGCACGAGGTATGAAGGGAGTTAATTAGCAAATGTAGGCCTCCCTTGTTTCATGCGTCGTGGCAAAGAGATGATTGTGTTAACCCTACATCTTCCAACGCCCATGAGTCGAGAGAGGGGAGGCTCTTGCGTTGGTTGGTTCATGCACTTGGGCTCGCTGCTTGTCTCTCACAGTTCATAAGTGCACTTGTATTGTTATCTATTCATATAGGTGAAGTTGTCTTTCTTGTACATCTCCTGTTCCCATCACACTGCCAGGTGGTTTGCATGGACTGTGGAGATATCTCATGTCGAAGAACCTTCCAGAAAAGGATCAAAGATGCCAACCCAGAGGTACGTGTTTCCCTCTTCTTTCTGGGCCCCTCCCCCTTGTACCTTTAGGAGAGAAAAAACAAATATGAAAAAATCAAAGAACAAAAGGAAAAACACTTGTTTTTTTGTATTTTCTGCGAAATAGCACCATTTATGTAATGAAAATATCTGTCCGTTCGTTTTTGCTTCCCATTGAACCCACATGCTCACACGATCTGCTGCTCCTTTCCTCCCACCTGTGCAGTGGGCAGCAGCGGTGGAGCATTTGGAGGAGGGCAAACCGGCAGGGTTGGACGAGTCGTTCGGCATGAGGAGGCAGCTGCAGCGGAGCGAAGAGACAAGAACTGCTGGTTCTGAAAGTGCCGAGTCTGGGAGCGCTGATTCTGGAATGTCTAAACGGGAGCTGATGGGCATGCGGAGGCGACCGGATGGGGATATAGAGATCAGTGAAGAGGAGTGGGAGAGGCATGGCGAGTTTAATGTGCCAAGCTGTGGTGCATGTGGTGGGGCGCTGAAACCTAATGTGAGTAGGGCGTGGGAGGGGGGATGGGGGTCAGGTGAGTCATTTGGCATGCAGAGGCAGCTGGAGGATGGGGATATAGAGATCAGTTTTGAGGCGCCTCAAAAGTCAGTTTTGAGGCGCCTCAAAAGTCAGTTTTGAGGCGCCTCAAAAGATGGGGATATAGAGATCAGTGAGGAGGAGTGGGAGAGGCACGGGTAGTTTTTTTGTGCCGAGCTGTGGTGCATGTGGTGGTGCGCTGAAACCCAATGTGAGTTGGCTGTGCCTTATCTCTTGATTTATCCATGCTGCAGAATATCTCTCCCGCTGCAGAAAATTGTTCTTTTTTAATGATTTCCCATGCTGCTCAAGCTCTTCTTCTTGTGGTGTTTTTCATGGCCTTGGGCAGGTTGTACTTTTTGGCGACAACCTTCCACCTGCCCGCAATCAAGAAGCTGCCCGGATGATGTCATCTGCCGACTCGCTATTGGTCGTTGGCTCCTCATTGATGGTGCTCTCAGCTTTCAGGATAGCAAGGTGCGGGAAAAGTAGTCGGGAGATAGGATCGTCACATTCTCTCTTCAACCCCACCCTACCTTCCTCCCCCTCCCCACCCCCACCCTCCCCCCACTTGCTCCCCCACTTTTTTTTTTTTCCTCTCTCTCTGTTTCTTCCAATGCAGCTCCATTATCCAACACAGTCACTCATGTTGCAAGTACAAACAGCCACAACGTCTTGCTCATTCTCCCTTACCAACCCTCTTCTCTTTTTACCCCTTTTCAGCCAATGCGTGCATGAAGGCAAGCCGCTCGCACTGCTAGCGGTGGGCCCAAACCGTGCTGATGCCATTGCTGTACCCTCACACCCCACACCAACATACCACCCCCCGTCACCCCACCCAACCCCTCACCCTCCTCTTCCTTTTCCAGCCAATGCGTGCAAGAAGGCAAACCGCTTGCACTGCTAGCTGTGGGCCCAAACCGTGCTGATGGCATTGCTCGGATCAAGATCGAGGCGCGATGTGGGGAGGTGAGATGTGGGGAGGTGAGATGTGGGGAGGTGAGATGTGGGGAGGTGAGATGTGGGGAGGTGAGATGTGGGGAGGTGAGATGTGCGGAGGTGAGATGTGGGGAGGTGAGATGTGCGGAGGTGAGATGTGGGGAGGTGAGATGTGGGGAGGTGAGATGTGGGGAGGTGAGATGTGGGGAGGTGAGATGTGGGGAGGTGAGATGTGCGGAGGTGAGATGTGCGGAGGTGAGATGTGGGGAGGTGAGATGTGCGGAGGTGAGATGTGGGGAGGTGGGGTCACATGATTATCCCTGCTTCGGTTGGGGTAGAAAATCTCTTGTCAAAAGAATGTTCTGATTTATCGCTTCCTTTGCTGTCCTGCCGTTGCGATTGATTGCAGGTGCTATCACGGCTCGTAGCATCAGGGTCACTTGACGTCCCTGCTGCGATTTAATGGTCTGATTCGATGTAATGATCTGATTGATCTGTTTCGACATGATATGACAATTCCTTCCTCTTGGTTCAAGATAATAATTCTGCTGCAATTCGCGTCGCGAGTTCATTGTGCTCTTTGTTGTAAGTGCAGTGGTCGGCGGTATAAGAGCATGTTTGTGCCCATTGTCGTCTCATCAGACATGGTTACAGACGCGGTTACAAACGCAGCTAGAGACATCCATGCTACATCACTCTTGAGACGACACGATCAAAAGCCTCATCGTGACATTCCACTCTGGAGTTACAGTTTTGGATTTAATGTAGCTCGCATCAAGTGATGCCCACCGTCGACAGCAATGCACCGCCTTGTGATGTACGCAGAGGTGTCAGTTGCTGTGTGTGGGGATACACTACATGTGATTCCCTAGAGAGGCATGGCATGGCATGGTACCGACATAAAGTCAGAGCTTGGGATTTAACCTGGCTCGCATGAGATGGTGGCCCCCGTCCACGGCAATGCAGTGCCCTGTGATGTAGGCAGAGGCATCTGAGGCGAGGAGAAGCAGCAGCAGCAGCAGCAGCAGCAGCACAGCAGTATCTGTGCCTAGGAATGCAGCTGCTGCCTTGTAATTTCACAGTTTTGGGTTCAATCTAGCTCGCATGAGATGGTGCCCCCCGTCCACAGCAATGCACTGGCCTGTGATGTATGCAGAGGCGTCAGAGGCGAGGAGGAGGGGCACGGATGTGAGGTCGGGGTGGATGTTACCCCACCTGTGAGGGGGGAGAAGCACAGGGGGAGGGGCGAAAAGTTGAAGCGGAGTAGAGGTTCAGCTAATTAGCCCATCCACAACATTGCACTGTCCTGTGATGTAGGAAGAGGCGCCAGAGGCGAGGAGGAGGAGGAGCTGCGATGTGAGGTCGGGGTGGATGCTCCCCCACCTGTGGGGGGGGGAATAGGGGGAGGGGGGGAGGGGGGGAGCAGAGCACACTTGAATAGCTTATCCACGGCAATGCAATGCCCTGTGATGTATGCAGAAGTGTCTGAGGCGAGGAGGAGGAGGAGGGATGTGAAGTCCAGGTGGATAGAACCCCACCTGTGGAACGGTGGGGGGGAGGGGGGAAGGGGGGGGGGGGGGGGGGGGGGAAGCACAGGGGGAGGGAAGGGGAGAGGAGGGAGAAGAGCCTTTAAGAAGGCACTCGGGGGAGATGCTTCAAGTCTTAGAAAGAGCCTTCAGATACACACTTGGATTCTTACAATACTCCAAGCCCTTAAAGCCCCAGACGCACCTCTGCATTGGGACCACCACCTGTGCATTCCTCTCCATCCATGGCTTGTCTAAGAGCTTCTGAAGAGATGCAGAGAGAGAGAGAGAGAGAGAGAGAGAGAGAGAGAGAGAGAGAGAGAGAGAGAGAGAGAGAGAGAGAGAGAGAGAGAGAGAGAGGGAGAGAGAGAGATCAGTGGCCCTCCAGCGCTCGCAGGCGAATGCCCTGCACACCAAGGCCAGGGCAGGGATCGAGGCGGCGCATCCCCAGATGGCAGCAGACCCATGGCCGCTGCACCTAGGGGACATCCTCCACACGCTGGAGGGGTAGAGGGTCACTCAGGGGGGGGGGGGGGGTCAGAGGGTTGGGTCAATGGGTCAGAGGGTCTAAGGGATTCACGAGTTAAACTGTATGTCTGTACCCCTGCTGAATTAATACAAAGGACCATTTGAGAGAGAGAGAAGGGGGAGAGGGAGGAAAGAGCAGAGTGAGCTTCTGAACACATGACATGAACACATGACATGAACACATGACATGAACACACAAAATAAAAGGAGAAGGAAGAGGAGGAAGAGAGAGGGAGTAGTGGTGAATAGGAAGCGAAACTCAAGCGTCCCACTCCATAAAGGATTCTCCAGGAGCACCTGGATACATGCACACAAATCAAATTTTGGCCTCCCAGTTTTGAGACGTCCCCAAAACTTCTCATTACAAGCGCACACATCAGCTCTTGGCCCTCCACCCGTCAGTACCAATTATCCCCCCTCCACGCTCTCTTTTTCCTTGCCTCGGTGATCTCGGATCGGAATATCCCCGGTGCGATGCAGTTGAAGCGAATGCCATGCTCCCCTAGCTCCACTGCCATGGCCTGTAAGAGACAAAAGGACAGCAAGGCGAGAGAACAGGAAGGCATGAAGAAAAGAGCAAAAGGGAGTGAGCCATCAGACGTCTCGAGCCTCGAATTCCATGCTCCCCCAGCTCCACCGCCATTGCCTGTAAGGGGGATGATGGCAAGAGTGCGAGAATGCAGGGAGAGGAGAGAGAGAAAGAGAGAGTGAGCTTTCAGATGTCTCGAGCCACTTACCTCCCGCCTCCCTACCCCTCCCATTACCCATCCCCCCATCCCCCATCCTCCCCATATCGCCCTTTACCATGCACGCACCACGGTGAGGCGGATAAGACCAGCCTTGGAGGAGGAGTAGGCGGCCCCGCCGGGGAGAATGACCTTTCATTCCCCTTCCATCTCAAAACTGCCACCACCCGATCCCTTCCCCCTACCCCCTCCACCCCACATTTCCCTCCACCCCCCTCTCCCCCCCTACCCCTCGCACGCACCACAGTGAGGAGCATGAGGGCAGCCTTGGAGGAGTAGGCAGCACCGTCGGGGAGAATGGCACCTCAAATACTCGTCACCCTGCCTCCCAACTCCATTTCCCCTCAGCCTTTCCTCCATTCAGCGATTTAACCATTCCCTCCCAACGTACGCACCACGGTGAGGCGCATGAGAGCAGATTTAGAGGAGGAGTAGGCAGCACCGCCGGGGAGAATGGCACCAGGAATACCGGCTGTAGATGCAATGTTGATTACACTCAATAACGCGCGGGTGCTTCCAGTACTACCCCCTTCAGAAGCCCTGTCACTCTTCTCCTCCGATCCTTTGCCGCCCTTTCCCATCTTCCCCCCCTCCCGTCGCGCCCCCTCGCCAGTCCTCCCCTCCGCTCGCGCCCCCCCGCCTGTCCGCCCCAGCACGCGCCGAACCACAGCCTTGGAAACAAGCTAAGCGCCTCGAACGTTGGTGTGGAATGACGTGTCGAACTCTGATTGGCTGATGTCGATCGCGTCCACCTTTTTCCCTGCAATCTTGAACACGTGCAGTCAGGAAGAGTCAGCCAAACCAAGTCAAATCAAGACAAGGCAAGTCACACGTCGTGCAGTCAACGCGGCTCGACCCCCTGTGTTCAAAGCATGTCGATCCGCCCGAAAGTCAAAGTAGAAACGAGAGTCAACAAAGTCAACGAGAGTCAGCGCGGTTCACCTAGGAACCCTGCGTTGTTCACAGCACGTTTATCCGCCCAATATGCAGAGCAGTCAGACAAGGCAGTCAGCTCAAGTCAACGCGAGTCAACGCGGCTCACCTCGGAACCCAGCATTGTTCACCAGCACGTCGATCCGCCCGAACGCGTCCCACGCCGCCTGCACCGCCACATCTACCGCCACCTCGTCCGCCGCGACGTCCATCGCGACAGCCCTCATGCGCCCCGGGGTCTCGTTCCCCACAACGAATCGCGATTCTGGCCGCCCAGGATTTCCCACAGATAATTCCCGAGCCGCCTCGTTTCCCGAGGCGCCCCGCCATTCCCGTCCTCCAGCTTCCACCGGGCTTGATTTATCAGAGCTTCTCTCTTTGCGCGGATAATCCCCCTCTCCGCGCATCCCTTCGCCCTCTCGGCACATCTCTTCCGCCTCCGCGCACAGCTGATCCAGGCGGTCCACGCGCCGAGCTGCGGCGACCACGTGGCATCCACGTGCCACGAGGAAGAGCGCGAGATCGTGGCCGATTCCGGACGAGGCGCCCGTTACAAGAGCTACCTTGCCGCGGACCGATAGCTGATCGAGGCCCCATCGGTGCGTAGCGCTCGCTGACATAGCTTCGACGTCGCGTATATAGCACCAGCAGCGGCGACTCGGATAGTTGATTTGCTCAAGCACTAAACTACAGCTAAACTAATTTGGAGGAAGATTGAAGCCAATCCAGTGATGAGCTTTTCTGGTACTCACAATTCGCGCCTCTGTGGCGAGCAAGCTACGAAATCCTCGTGGAGTATTTTCGTTAGAGTCGTGAACGTCGTAGACATGTCACTGAAGACTGCATTCTGGTGGCAATCACATCGTCGGGCTCCTGGTTGTTTTCGCAAAAGCGTGATCCACGCTTTCGTCAGCAAGTGTTGCACGAGGGATGCAATTTCGTCGATTGCCGAAACCTCCCCACGCCAGCTGTCGCTCGATTTCCAGCTGCCTCTGGTTGGTGCTGTGCTGGATTCGAACGGCGCCACGTCGTTTGTGGTCCAGCTTCACTGTAACGAGCCTTTGCTGTATCAACGACAATAATATGCAGACATGGAAATTATTATAAAACGTACATATATTCTGATTTTTGAAACATCCCCCACAACTCACATGGTGAGAAACTTGTTACGGGCGCATTGTCTCAAGGTAGCTAGGATTGCACTAAGTTTACGAGTAAAAGGTATGAGCGAAGGCATGGGCGAATAATTACAGGCGTAACATGCAAACGGCAACGCGGTGCGTGCGAGCTAGCTTGTGCGACGCTGGCAGCGAGGTTCGGGCTAGTCCCGAAGCGTAGGTGGACTCGGCCAGGCCAGCGATTCATGGTTTGGGAAAATTTAGAGAAGGTTGGCAAAGCCCTGTTAGCAGTAACTGGAGAACAATGGTTGGTCATGTACGCGGTCTTGAAGCACGCGGTAAGTAATGCAGAAAAAAAAAAAGGGAAAGTACGTACCGTAAGCCCCCGGATAGAAGCGCAGGCCTCGGATAAGCGCCGGCGGTTGTAAAAGGGTGATGGGGCTTATATCCGGTCCTCGATTATAAGCGCACCCCTGGACGCTTACGGATTATAAGCGCACCCCTGTATTATGACATATTATAAGCACATTATGACACATTATATTCGACTATTATTATACTATATTTTACAGGCTATTTTCACTACAACATAGTATTTTTCCAATTCTACTACGGCACTAAATCCTACTGATAGTTTACCGCAACATTCACTGACCTTCTCTAGCATCCTATGCATTCTTTTCTTCCTAGCATCCTATGCATCACCATCAACAGTGGCGGAGCCTTCTTGGTCGGCCTCCCCGTCCGACTCTAGCTCCTCTACGTTGTTGCAGTAGAATCCATCTGCTGCAATCTCGTCGTCAAGTTCTACTTCACCCTTGACGGCGTCCCGCTGGTGCTGCATGCAGAGATTGTCATGGGACCAGGGCGTTGCTGATGCCACAGGTGAGAAACGAGCGCCGAATCAACTCCTTGGGCACGGCCTTCCAGGCCTTGGAGATCCACTTGAGCGTCAGCTCTGGAGGTGGCTTGCGGATGTTGCCTGCCACACATGGAAACACTACAACAATCAGAACAGGGTGGAAACAGTCAAGAGCAGACACATCGTACACGTAGGGATTGAGCTCACCTCTTTCGGTCAGGCAGTCGACCCCCTCGCTCTCGAACCACTCCTGGTACAGTTGTCGGACTGCTGCTTTGAATGAGCGGTTCACCGCGACGTCAAGAGGCTGGATCTCAGAGGTGCAGCCAGCTGGTATGACGGCGGGGACGATGTTCAGCTCCCCGAATTTCGCCTTCACAGCATCAGTGAGGTGCCCACGGTAGGAGTCAAGAACCAACATCACCTTCCTGCTGCGTACTCCGAACCTGGGGCTGACATACGGGTTCACCGTCCCGTCGAGCCACGCGAGGACGCCGTCAGCGTCCATCTGTCAGAACATTGTAGCTTATGCTGTTATGTAGGCTATAGTGGGGTATCCCATAGGGGGTACAACCAATTAGGGTTTCATATTTGTACTCACTTCATTTCATAGTTCATTCATTCTCGTTCTCATTTTCACATGGAATCAGAGCAGGTCCCCTCCTAGGGACTGTTCCTTGGGCCCACCGAAGCGCGCCTCGAGTCGCGCCTGCCTTTTTTTTTTTAGCGGCCCGTCGAGTCGCACCTAGCGGCCCGTCGCGCCGCCCTTACGGTCGCGTCGAGCCGCCCTAGCGGCTGCGGCGCGCCGCCCTTTTCCCGGCCCGTCGCCGCCCTTACCCGCGGCTTTGCGCCGCCCTCACCGGCGGCTTCGCGCCGCCCCTACCTGCGGCTTCGCGCCGCCCAGGCCCGTCGCCGCCCTTCCCGCGGCTTCGCGCCGCCTCTACCTGCGGCTTCGAGCCGCCCCGGCCCGTCGCCGCCCTTACCTGCGGCTTCGCGCCGCCTACGGCCCGTCGCCGCCCCTTTCTGCGGCCCCGCCGCCTCTCTCGTTGCGGCCCCGCCGCCCGTCTTCGCGGCCCCGCCGCCATCTCTCGCTGCGGCCCCGCCGCCACTCACTGCGGCCCCGCCACCCGTCTCAGCGGCCCCGCCGCCCGTCTTCGGGGCCCCGCCGCCTCTCTCGCTGCGGCCCCGCCGCCTCTCACTGCGGCCCCGCCGCCCTACTCAGCGGCCCCGCCGCCCGACTTCGCGGCCCCGCCGCTTCTCTCGCTGCGGCCCCGCCGCCTCTCTCGTTGCGGCCCCGCCGCCCTTCACTGCGGCCCCGCCGCTTCTCTGCAGCGGCCCCGCCGCCCGTCTTCGCGGCCCCGCCGCCTCACTACCCAGCGGCCCCGCCGTCCTTCTTCAGCGGCCCCGCCGCCCTACGTCAGCGGCCCAGCCGAGCCGCCCAACAACAGCGCAGCCGAGCCGCCCAGCAGCAGAGCAGCCGAGCCGCCCCGCCGCCGAGCCGCGCTGCAGCCGAGCCGCCCGGCCGCCCACCAGTCGAGCCGCCGTGCAGCCGACCGCCCAGCCGCCGAGCCGCCCAGCTGCCGAGCCGCCCAGCCGCCGAGCCGCCCAGCGGCCGAGCCGCCCTGCAGCCGAGCCGCCCGAGCAGCCCTGTCCGGTGAGCACAGACCCTATGTCACTGCGTGCTCTTCCCCTACTCCTTGCACTGCTGGTCTACTGCTGTCATGGCTACCCCTAGTGTCCTCACTTTTGACGCTGAGGGTCGGGCCATTGACTTTGAGGTCTGGGTAGATGACCTACAGCTGTTCTTACAGTGCGATAGGGCGGACGGCCTCTCTCTCTTTGACCTCACCTCTGGCGCTTCCCCTGCCCCTGCTGCTGATGCTGACGCCACTGTTCGCTCCCAGTGGGCCACGCGCGATGCTGCTGCACGTCTTGCTGTGCGTCGCCACCTCCCTACCTCCGAGCGTGCGCACTTTAGTCAGTACAAGAGTGCTCAGACCTTGTACGCCGCTGTAGTCGCGCGCTACTCCTCCCCTTCCACTGCTGCACTGAGCCGTCTCATGCTGCCGTACCTCTTCCCTGACCTTGCTTCTTTTCCCACCGTTGCTGACCTCATTACGCACCTCCGCACTAGTGACACTCGCTACCGCGCTGCACTTCCTGCTGACTTCTGCACCGCGAACCCCCCCCCCATGTACATCACTCTGTACTTCCTAGTCACTCGCCTCCCTGACTCCCTTCGAGTAGTCAGGGACCACTTTCTCTCAGTCTGTCCCACCACACTCACTGCAGACCTCCTCGAGAAGGCCCTCCTCGCGATAGAAAAGAGCATAGTCGCTGTAGGAGCCTCTCGAGGTGACCCGCGCACCCCCATCTTTGAGGGGTGTTCTCCCTCCCCCCTGCTGCCCTCTGTTGCCTCTGCTGCTTCGGCCGACCTTCTTGGTCTTGAGTCGGTCGGTGCGGCGTCTGCCCCTAGCGGGAGACGCCGCCCTGGCAAGGGCAAGGGGGGCAAGGGAGCTGGAGGAGCGGGCGGTGGAGGTGGAGGTGGAGGCAGTGGGGGGAGTGGGGGTAGCGGTGGAGGTGGAGGTGGGGGTGGGGGGTTCGGTGGCGGCAGTGGAGGCGGAGGCCGCGGCGGCGGTGGCGGTGGTAGCGGAGGTGGCGGAGGAGGCGGCGGTGGAGGAGGCGGTGGAGGCGGCGGCGGCAGTGGAGGCAGCGGAGGCGGTGGAGGCGGTGGGGGTGGCGGTGGAGCTGGTCGCGGGTCTTTGCAGAGGAGTGGCTCCGGTGGTGGCTCGCGCCAGCAGCAGCAGCGTGGTCGTGCGACCCTGTCCCCTCAGCAGCTCCGTGAGTGGTACACTGCACGCCAGCGGGGTGGGGGTTTTGGTCCGTGTACCTACGTCCTGCGCACCGGCGACCGTGCGGGTGAGCAGTGTGGGGGTGCGCACCCCACTCCGCGCTGCTTTGGCCGCCTGACGGACGCATGGCGTCACCAGTTCCCGGAGGCCTCCGAGATCCCTCGCTGGGACGAGCTGTCTAGGGCGGGGGTTGCCATCTTTGATCTGGACTTTGATGCTATTCTCTCTGCCATGTATGCTGTGTCTATTAGTGATGAGGGTGACTGTTACCGGTGTTTCCAGCCCGATCCGGGCATTGAGACTGTTGCTCTAGGTACTGGTGAGGCTGCTGCCCTAGGTGCTTACGACGCTGCTGCCCCAGGTGCTGGTGTGTCTGCGTCCTCAGGTACTGGTGAGTCTGCTCTCTCAGGTACCGCGTCGGCTTCGGCCTCTCTCACCTTCACTCTTGACTCTGGGGCGTCTCGCTCCTTCTTTCGGGACCGCACCACACTCACGCCGCTTAGTCGGCCGGTTGCGGTGTCTCTGGCTGACCCCTCTGGGGGTCCGGTCCTGTCTCGTTTCTCCACAGTCCTCCCGTGTCTGGCGGCTCCCTCTGGCACCCTGTCTGGTCTCTACCTCCCCTCGTTCTCGACGAACCTGGTGAGTGGTGCTGACCTACAGGATGCGGGTGTCCACCAGTTCACTCCTGCACGTCAGCGAGTGACCCACTGTACAGAGGCTGGCACAGGCCGACACCTGGCTACGTTCACCCGTCAGCCGGGGTCGAGCCTGTACACTCTGACCACTGC